CTGGTTGTTTGTTTCATTATTTTTCTTGAATTTCTCACGTCACCTCCTAGGATCCTTCTGCGTGCTATTGTTAAATTCATCTTTAGTGTGTAGATTTAATGTTGTCGTTCTGTTTACTGTAATCAACTTGATCTATTAGACAAATTTGCATATGAACAATTGGATGCCTTTTCATCGAGTTAATAGCGGAGCTGTGGAGTCTTACTGTGTGCTCAAGTTTGTGCATCTAACAGTTGCTTTGTATTTTAACCATTACCTCAATTGGTCTTTTTCAGAGCTATCATCCTACTTAACAAAATATTCTTGTGATAGGGCTTGTTCCTAGTTAGAAACAAAGTGAAATCACCTTTCCTATTCTTTTATGTGACTAAGAAAGATGTTCGCTTCTTAAAATATTCCACATACGTGGGCAAACATACTTGAACCTCTCCATGCTATTTCCTCTTCAGTTAAGTTTAGTTGATTGATGTATGACAGCACTTTACCATCTTCCTTCTTGTTTATTTTATTATCTCTTCTAGAACAGATCAGCACAGGTTCTTTAGTGAACTATAGTTTTTAATCAATGGAATTGTTGGTGCAGGTTGATTGACAACCAATATGCCTCTTTAGAAGTTTCAAGTTTCCTTTGATTCATCAATATTTGGTGCATGTGATACGCTGAAGGTCTTATTCACTTGTAAAAGATGGATAGGTGTGACACTTCAGGATTTGTTAGTGGGGGCGGTATCTTCTTTTACAGAAACAATTCATCCTAGTTCCTTAGCTTCTTTTTATTTTTCCTCAACATATTAGAAAATAAAATAGAACTAGTTTCATAGCTTTTCATTTTTAAATCCTGGAAGTCGGGGAGGCTGGTCTAATTCAATTCGGTCTTGGTAACAATATTTTAACTATAATTTAATGGGCTCGAGCGTTCAGAACTTGAATTTTGCTGCCAATTATTCTTTGAATGTACTAAAGATTTTGGGGAAGTCTTTCCAAGATGGAAAAACTGGAGCTGGAGACAGTGCAGATACTATTCTGCGACTTGATTCTACTGGTACTGGATCTTCGGTCCCCTGTAGGTCCATATCGAAGGGAATGAAACGGAAGTGGAGTTTGGTTGAGAAATCCGTGGGTGGTCGGTCAGTTGGGTCTTCTTTGTCTCTTGGGTTTGTTCATTCCTCAAGTTCTTCTGATAGTAAGGGGAGTTCAGCAACTGAATGCACCAGAGTGTCCTCTGCTAAAGACACCGATGAGGAATCCTCAATGATACTTGATCTGGATTTTTCTCTCAATCTTGGTAATGATAAGGTAGCTAGCCCTAAAGAACCTGCCAATAAGTCGCTTAAAGTACATAAATTTAAACCGAAGGATGACTTGGAGTTAAGTCTCTCAACTGGGCTATGTGAATCTGATGTCACTTCAATTTATCAGGGTATTCCTTCACTTCAGTTGTCAATGGAGAAGCCATTGACATTTGTTGAAACCTTAAACACAGATGATGGAGAAACATCATGTGGTTGGAAGCCAGGAACCGTCCAGCCAGTCATTTCTACCTCGTTGAATCCTCAGGTTGGCTACATTTTTCACCCAGTTACTGAGAAAGTGATGCCACCTGCCAATGTTCCAGACCTTTCCTCAAGCGTTTTAACCGTACCCAAAAGCTCAGTCACCTGTACTTCCGGGATAACACAACAGCTTCAAGAACGATTTAGTCGTAGTAGTAATTCCAAGATATGTCAAGTTGATGGATGTGGCAAGGGAGCCAGAGGTGCTTCTGGCCGTTGCATATCACATGGTGGCGGTCGGAGGTGTCAGAAACCTGGATGTCACAAGGGAGCTGAGGGTCGCACTGTATACTGCAAGGCCCATGGAGGTGGACGGCGATGTCAACATTTGGGTTGTACCAAGAGTGCAGAAGGACGCACAGACTATTGTATTGCCCATGGTGGGGGTCGAAGATGCAACAGTGAAGGATGCACTCGAGCGGCAAGAGGAAAATCAGGATTATGCATTCGTCATGGTGGTGGCAAGAGATGTCAAAAGGAGAACTGCACCAAGAGTGCAGAAGGCCTCTCCGGTCTTTGCATCTCTCATGGTGGTGGTAGGCGATGCCAAACGCCTGGGTGCACTAAAGGCGCACAAGGGAGCACCATGTACTGCAAGGCTCATGGTGGGGGGAAAAGGTGTACGTCTCCTGGTTGTACCAAAGGTGCTGAAGGTAGCACCCCATTTTGCAAGGGCCATGGTGGTGGTAAAAGGTGTGGATTCCAAGGAGGTGGTATTTGTACAAAGAGCGTCCATGGGGGTACCAACTTCTGTGTGGCACATGGTGGGGGCAAGAGATGTGCTGTTCCTGAGTGCACAAAAAGTGCTCGGGGAAGGACAGACTATTGCGTGCGTCACGGTGGGGGAAAAAGATGCAAGTTCGAAGGGTGTGGCAAGAGTGCACAAGGAAGCACAGATTTTTGCAAGGCACATGGTGGAGGAAAGAGATGTTCTTGGGGTCATCCTGGGTCCGAGTATGGCACCCGACCGTGTTGCCCATGCAATTCATTTGCAAGGGGGAAGATGGGTCTCTGTGCACTTCATAGTGGCCTGGTGCAAGACAAGAGGGTTCATGGGGGAGTTTCACTTGGATCTATTATTCAGGAGCCTAATCTCAGCCAGAAGGAGAAGATGAAAGGAGTAGTCAGGGAAGATTACATGAATGAAGATCTCATCAAGGTAGGAGGCAAAGTCGGTCCGAATCTTGCGCATTTTGCAGGCAGTGAAGCAGAAGAATCGTCGATCATTCCCGAAGGTAGGGTGCACGGTGGAAGTTTGCTGGCAATGCTTGCTTGCAGCTCAGGGTTAGTCTCAAGTAGTAGAAATGTAGTTTCTGGTCCCGAGCACTCGATGGAACCTCCCTCCATGCCTCGTAGTTGGGTGTGAAGCAATCTCAGCCTTCCTTTTACGTTCATCTGGTGTTACGAGCATGGTCGGTCGGTCGGTAATGTTGGTCTCTCTCTCTCTCTCTCTCTCTCTGTTTAGTATCTGTCCATTATAAAGCTTGGTATTTATTGGTCCAAATGGAAAGACTCCTTAAGAGTGCTCTATATTGAGGGGGCAAATTCTAAGTATTGGGTCGTTGGTTTGTTGGCTTGTTCTTTCTTGTATATATTCTTTTAGATAATGTATGTGGAACAGGCTTCAAATGCAGCTCAACAACCTGTAGGTTTGTTAACGTTGTCATTCTGGTTATGGATAAGGGCCCTTTTCCTGTCGTCGAAATTTGAGTTTGATAGCATTTTGATAACGGTTGAAGTTTGAGTTTGATAGCATTTAGATTAGATTTTTGAGTTATCTTCGAAATTTGGATTTGATAGCATCAGATAACTGTCGAAGTTTGAGTTTGATAGCATTTAGATTTTTGAGTTATCTCGTGAGTTTTGAAAAAGTAGTTTATTTGTATTAAAAATATTTATAGTTCATTTTCTTTCTTCTTTCTCCTCCCTACCGTCCTTTTCCCTTCCCTCGTCCGTCCCTTGCCATTATCGTTTATATGTGTACTTTTGGTCTTTAAAGTTTAGGATTGGTAGCGTTTTGGTCGATGAATTTTCAAACTCCAGTCGGTCTCTTTTTTTCATACTACATTACTGTAGCTACACAAAAGCTTTTGCCATCGTTATTTACCATTGATTGGTGTCGAATGAAGAAAATCATTCTTTTAAACTTAGCTCGACATCTGAACTCAGTCAAACATATCTGAGATTTAACGAACACTAATTTATCTCATGTTACAATTAATTTTTTAAAAGTTAAAAATTTACCTATACCCCAAACTAACAACAACCCCTATTTCTAAAAATTATTTAAACTATTGAAACAAAAGTTAGCGAACAAATTAATATAAATGGAGGACTACAAAAAATCTTGAATTTGGATTATTTAAAGAATAAATAATACTTTTCAATTTACATTTCATCAACAGCGTTTGTAGTCCAACGGTTAGGATAATTGCCTTCCAAGCAATAGACCCGGGTTCGACTCCCGGCAAACGCAATGAGGTACAAACATTTTCCAGTTTTCACGAAATCATTTTATTTTTTAATTTTCACGAAATTTCAAAATAAAAAGATTCTAGAAATTAAAAAAAAAAAAAAAAATTCTAAATATATAGGAGGTTCGTCCTCGAGGTTTCATATGATCGGTTCTTCATTTATTTTTTTATTTTTTGTGTTAAAAAAGTTTTCTATATTACAAAGGAAGGCCTAAAAAAGTCAAATTGGGAGCCTAATCTCCAAGGCAATTTGCCTTCCAACAAATAATAAATTCAGGTATATATTCCCAATAAATGAATAATGGTTTTTTTAAGAAATACTTGGAAGTAGAAATTTGTGTAAGGATTTTAGAAAGAAAATTAAGTTTGTCTTAATAAAGTTTTATGTTAAAATAGATAAACGAATAAACGAACAAGAACGAAACACTGTGTCCTCTTCTCGACTCAAAAGCAGAAACTAAAAATTTTCCAAAAGCATAATAATTACTATTAACCTATTCAACTTCCATAAACCTTAAATTAACTTGAAAAAATACTTAGAAATCAATTACCTTTGGCAATCATCCTGTCATTTTAACCCAGAAATTCTCAAAAGTTACATTTAGTTTCAGCTGAATATATAAAATAAAGAGAATAAAGTCACAGTCAAAGATTTCAACTAATTAGTTATACATAGACGTAATGTTTATTAATTATGTTGGACCTTTCATATGATGTGCTCTTATTAATGATGCAACTAAACTTACTTTAGCAGTTGGAAAGAAACCATTAATACTATGCCTCCCTATCACATCAAATATGCCTTTTTATCTTCTAAATTCAACTCTAGAGTAGTGCTACATGATCCAAGCTTGTGCAAGGAACAGCAAACCTTTGACACAATCGGATCGATAATGATCAAAACCCATAAACAGATTTCACAAAAGGGGAGAATTTGAAGAAATCATGCACCAAAATAACCAAATCAAACAGATGAATGAAACAACAACTCTCACTTTATACATGAAACCCACTGTCAATTAAGTATAACATCCCTAAAATTTGTGGTTCACTAAGGCTTGACATGTAAGGAGAGCTATAAAATTGTAGCAAAATCATGTGTAGTATCCGCAATCCATAAATTAATCCACATTGCCAACCCACTGATGAGAAGAGAAGAGAAGAGAAGAAAAAGAAGAACAGATTCTTTCATGGATGAAACTTCAGGACGCCAATGACTAAAAAAAGCCTATCAAATGCATATTTCGAAAACAACAACAAAAAAAACAGGACTACTACCACGAGTCGGGGGCGTCTCTCTCTCAAGCGATCTTTTTGTCCTTCAGAGGTCCTCTTGGGATTTTAGAAAGTACCTTCTCATCAAATACTACATACTGCTTCTTGATCTCTGCAATTGCCTTCTCTGCCAAGGCGTCCACCTTATCGTCGTATTTCTCGTAGAACACAGGTACAGTGAAGAGAAAAATAACTCCTGTTACACATTGAATCGACAACGAGAAGTCACTAAAATGCAAGACTGGAGAGAACAAAACTAATTGAAATTGAAGTTCACACTGAAAACTTCCTCACCTATGTACAGCAAGGTTAGGAAATTGAACCAGGTTCCCACAATGGACAGAACCCATAAACCAGCAATTGCCTAGCAAACAGAATTATGAGTACTAGATTCAGATCTAAATTTGAACTCTATCTTTGAATACTAGATTCAGAACTAAATTAGAAGTGAACGTACATAAAGAAAGCTCTTCAAATCCCTTCCTGATGCTATCTCTCTCAAGACAGCAATGGCCCTATTGATCTCAACTCTCAAAGCAGTGGCAATCTCTTTCACTGGCTCCTCCGGAATGTGAACTTGAGGAATGTGTGGCAGAGACCTGTGCGAAAAAGGTGTCGGCATACAGTTAAGCAATGATGATTTGAAAGGTGAACCGTACGCCAAGCTAGAACAACTTACTTGTTAATGAAGAAAGAAGCATTGGACCACAAAAACACTACTGCCAGAGCAGCCATACAAATGTGGCAAATCAAGGTCAGAAAGTGATATTCAAGCAACTCAAACAAAATCCATGCGACTGTTGCTCCTCCTAGAACTCCACCGGATACCTTTTTGTTTCTCCACAGGAAGATATCAGCCGCTGTAGAGAATAGATTAAAACAGCAGAAGGAAAACAATGATTCGTTAGATACACCAATGAAAATTTGTTCCGTAACATCAAAATGTTCTTTAAATAGACTGAATTTCAAGCTATAATGAATCAGGAAGAGGAACAATTGACACTATTTTGAAGTTATAAAGGGTGTTCATTCGCATCGCAAAATTGAAAAATCGAAATGAAATGCATGATTGTAAACCAACAATTGGAGGATGAAACAAGATCAACTGAAACGTATGCTAAAATTGTAGATAGATCCAGATCTACAAACTCAACTAAAAGTTTCTTAAATAAAAGACGAACTATCCATGAGACGCCGATCCACTTCAGACGCCAAAAATCGCTCACGAAGCGAAGAACATCAATATAAAAATAAGAACAAAGATCGTCTGGATTCAACATCCATCCATTTCCTCAAACAGTTAATCATCTTAGAAGCAAACAAATCAAAACCATGCACTCAAATCGAAACAAAAAAAAAAAAAAAAAAAAAAAAAAAAAAAAAAAAAAAAAAAAAAA